ATAAATCGAAAAAGCTTACTTGGAGTATGAGACAGCAAAGCTGAACAGTTCTAGACTGATTCACGAGTAGAGGAAAATTATAAGAGCTCTAAAAAAATGTTATAACATTAATTTACTACGTAATATCAGCACCAATATCATCGAACCGCAGCGCAGCCGCGTCGCCGATAAACACGACGCAGCTGCGCTGCGGTTCGATCAGAAAATGAATCGATAACATCGCAGTGTTGAGGCTATAGTTGACAATGGCTGCGAAAGGTCAAACATCACCGTAATTCTGATCAAGGCACGAAAACGCAATAGATTGGTTCAGCAAGAAATTTCCAAGATTTTTGCGAAACTGCGCGCTGTCTCCGTTTGTTAACGTCAGATCTACGAAACACTGCTGAGTTTAAATTCGTCCCAGACGCGTTTATGATAAGACCTTGGGAGTTAAAAGGTTTCTTTGGAGAATAAGAGCGCAATTCGTAACACTCAACAAGATATTGAGAGGGGGAGATCGCAACAGGTAACTCATAATCATTCTGCATTGCCGCGTTTCCCGGAAACCAACTGACCATTCGTCGCAAGGGTGTTCGCAAGAAGAAAATAGACCAAATGAACCTTACCTCCTTTCTATGAACTATTTATATTCTCTGATGGCACCAAACAGTAACAACATTTTCTCATCAAGTGGGAATCATTCTTAATCGGTTGCTTTAGCTGTGAGGTCCTTTTATTGAGGCTAGATGGGGGTTAGCTAATCGCTAGGTTCTTGTCCCACTAAAAGTACTGTTTAAGAAAAAATCCACGCGATTCTACAGTGACTACGATTTCCCCTACATAGTTGGAATAGCAAGAGGTGTTCAATTCTTATGTTGCGTTTCCCAGGTGGCTTTTTTCTCCGTATCCCCACCAATTCCAACTGAATTTTGGTCTTCCCTATTCAGATTCTTATGATTTATTGCGAGTCTGGAAGTATAGACATGATCTCATTTCTTCTTTATAACATCGTATGCGCTATGTACACTATGCATATTTTTAGACGATGGTAAGACCAGATTTTGGTGCAATTACGTACTTCAAGTGTGATTGCGCAAGAACATACACAGCTACATTTTTAGGTACTATAACATCGATGGACGATTTGATCTACGCCAACTAATTCGTGAACCTGAAAATACAGTAAAATTGCAGTATTCAATAGGTAAGAGTCAATAGTTGCAGGCTGTTATAACGCGACGCAACGCCGCACAAGATAAATGCGCTAGATGTCAAAAGAATTTAAGAAAAATCTAAAATTTAAGGATAGTAATATGTATGCCTCAAAGTGCTCATCC